TTTGACTCGCTCATTGAATAATTTGCTGCAATTGCACTGTCACCGAACATTCCCTTGAATAAGTCATTGACTCCAGTATTTGAATTTCCAGAGAAGTGGAAGGAAACACATTTCAAAGCCCACAGATTCTCTGCATCGGCGACTTTTTTGGACAACATGCATAAATCAGACAAAGACTGAATGGCCCCACCTTTTCCAGTACCTTCCTTTACACTGTCGTTCGTAAAAGTCGTAGGAGCCACCTGAGATGTTTCCTCAACAGAAGCGAAATTTCTAGCAAAAGGAACTGATTTGGGAGAATCTCTAACGTGTCTTTGGTGTCTTGCTCCTTCCATGTGAGACTTCAAAGCTGCTTTCCCCATGCTCGCTAATTAATAATAATAATTTATTACTTATACAGTCCAAAATACGTGTGGATATGATCTAATGCACTACACAATAAGACTAAGCAAAATAAAATATGAAAACGAACTATAAAAGGCTAAGAATATGCAATTTGACTGACTAAAAAACTGATTGTTGTTGATGAAAATGATTCTCAAGATTCAGTAACATGGCTCACAATAGATAACAGCTCGTCTAATGACCCTCAGTCCAAACTTATATTATACAAAGATAGCAGGGACAGCATACTGAACAACACCTATTGGCTACATGACTCAGGAATATATGCTGGCCAAATATTGCTCAAGAGGCACCTTCCACTTGTTTATGGACTCCACAATCCAGCTATCACAGGTCCTATGGTTATTCCTGCCACATCAGAGTTCATCCAAATTGTCAACATTGGGGCACACTGGGTGTGCATAAGTACCCTTAGGTGTCAGGCTGGCATTGTTAGAGTATTTGACAGCTTGTACAGTAAGCTGAGTTCATTTGCATTAAACCACGCTTGTCGCATGCTGCATCATCCTCATCCTCTTAATGAAAAGGTGTAAAAGCAGGTTGGCAGCAGTGACTGTGCCTTATTTGCTTTAGCATTTGCCACTGACTTGTGCTATGATCTAGATCCAACATCACAGAGGTACAGCCAGAAGGAGATGTGGCAACACTATGTTACCTGTCTGGAGTCTGGGGCGATGGTCCCTTTTCCAAAAACTGATAAACGAGTACCATTTCATCTGGACTGCAACAGCACCTCAGTATCAATCTTTTGCCTTTGCAGGCTCCCTAAAGATAGGCAAGAGTATGTGGAATGTTTTTCGTGCCATGGCTTGTATCATCCTCACTGTGTCTCAATACCAGAATGGGTCATTAAATCACGGCTACAATGGAACTGTCAAAAATGCAGAAATACCATGGCAAAGATGGGATCAAAGAACATTTTGGCAGGAGCAATTATAAGAACAAATAAGTGGCATTTCATTTAATTTCTATATTTTCTCTTGAGCAATTTATTTGGTGTAAAGGTTTGTTCTAGTCTGCATGCAGACATTTCATATTTTCTTTGCTTCATGTTTTTGAATGTGAAAACGTCTGCATGCAGGCTAGATTTGTTAGAGTGTTTACTCGATCCCTTGTTTTGCCATCACAATCAAAACAATAAATGGCATACTTTTCCAGCCTGCTTACTCTCCCCATCTAAACACTTGCGAGTTTTGCTTTCACCAAGTAAAGTGCTATCTGAAACAAAATTCATCTTTAACGGCTGATGAAACTGAATTAGCAATAGGCGAAGCTATGTCAGAGATAAGCCCAGCAAATTCTATCGCATACTTTCAAAAATGCGGCTACGTCTGATTGACCACTAAGTTATCCTACCTATTGATGGCCGCATATATGCCCTACTTCTATTTCGGTAGACGTTTTTAAATGTGTCACCACAAATATCAGGTGCCGTGCCAACCCGTGTTAGAATATATGTAGAGCCTAACGCTTTGTAAAACTGCAGTCTGAAAAAAAAAAAACAGCTGGCATTCACTAAAAGTAACGATAAATGACAGTTGTTGTAGAATTAGTATAATCGTCTTACCTTGAAATCTTTTCATCCGTGTTTAGCTGATGGAAATTATGTTTGAGCATATCAGCAATATGCGCACTGGTCGAATTGTTACTGAACGTTATCTCTTTCACGCGGCCACCCGACTCCAGTGATGCAAAGTCGGCCACTTGCGGAGCGCGCAACTGATCGGCCTAGCGTAGCAAGATGAAAGTGCGTTTCATAGTTCGCGCACGCCTGGCATTACCACTTGCCATGTTTATACTCCAGTGACTGGTCTTGTAAGATTGAAGATATGAATAAATGATGTGATGATCAGTTCCACAGTAGATTTTGACACCTCCACCAGAAAAGGAGAGTGACGTATATGTTACAAAAGGGTGTGGTAACTGTGAAAGCTTCCTAGAGAGATTTCTCACCTTCTGCGTCGAGGCATTGTTTAAATGGCCTTGTATTAGGATGAAAAAATAAATAAATAAAAAGAATGTCAGTAACGTACTGGTTTATTCACAAATATCTCCAAATGTTCAAAGTCCGTACGGCCACGGACCACAAAAATATAACACAGTTGCACAATCCGAGGCACACAGTGAAAACTCACAATCGACACGTTCCTTGTTTACATAAAGGCGATGCGAGTGGTTTTCTGCAAAAAATATAAATGTCCAATGTCTTATATGTTCTTCAAAACGTTTACAAATGTCCACAAATGTCCACTTACTTACCGAACTGTATGGCCTCTCGGTTTAAAATAAACGAAATAAGCTCTGTAAACTCCGTATTTAATAACAAATAAATCTGGCACTTGAAAGCACATGGCGAATACAACAAGATTGCTCGCGTGGTCACGTGACCGCAAAAATGACAAAATCCTACTCAGGGGAGTCGGGAGTGACACCGGCCCCTAAATGAATACACCGAAATTCATTTACAATGTTCAAACAGCTACCGACTCCTAACTGCCTGAGTTTAAACAGCACTCAGTCATCATGGGATACATTCCCACAGTTCTAAATCAGTCCATCTCTAAAGGACATAAACTTGTGATTGGCCGAGTGACTATCACACTGCTAGTCTTCAGCTCTCTGCGGCGTCTTCTCTTAGCACGAGTTGCCACTGTACAGGCAGTCTTCACTCGAACGGTACGCACATACCCGTCTCTGCTGACAACAACTTCCTCCACACGTGCGATCGGCCACTGGCCACGAGGGTAACTTTCATCTGCCAATAGGACCAAGTCCCCTTCTTTGATGTTTGGCTTAGGCATCTTCCATTTCTGTCTCTCCATAAGGGTTGGCAAGTACTCGCTGGACCATCTCCGCCGGAACACACCAGCCAAATACTGAGCTTGTCTCCATGCACGCTTGCAGTGAAGATCTCCTTTGTCAAACACACCTGGCGGTAAACTGGGCGTTGGGCGCAAATGCAACAATTGGTTGGGGGTAATTGGCTGATCATCTAAGGAACTGTCGCTGTTGCGTGTTAAGGGACGGCTGTTGACAATGTTGACAGCTTCTGCCATGACAGTAGAAAGGACTTCATCTGTCACCAACTGTTCCTTCAACAAAGCCTTCAACACTCGCTTAGTAGTTTGAATCATCCTCTCCCATGGTCCCCCCATATGGCTTGTGTCTGGTGGATTGAATGTCCACTTGATTTCTTTCTGAGCACAGAAATTACTGATGCTTTGGTTGTTCCAGAGTTGTACAGCTTCTCTCAACTCTTTGTCAGCCTTTGTGAAATTTGTTCCGTTGTCACTTCGAATCTCCTTGGGGCAACCTCGCATGCTAATAAACCTTCTCAAGGCGTTTATCATAGAATCGGCACTCAGCGAGTGCAAAATCTCGACGTGTACTGCACGTACAGTTAAACATGTAAAGAGGCAGCCGTACCTCTTGACGTGTGATCTTCCCTGTTTCACTTCGATTGGGCCAAAACAATCGATTCCAACATATAAAAAGGGTGGTTCACTTGGAGTCACGTGATCTGCTGGGAGTTCTGCCATGAACTGCTCTGCTGGTTTTGCACTTCTCTTCTGACAGTCAAGGCACTTGCTTAGCACCCGGCGCACTGCAGATCTGCCCTTCAAAATCCAATACTTCTGTCTCAACGACGACAGAACTGACTTTTGGCCCATGTGTCCCACTTTGAGGTGATGATCTCTGATTATTAAATCTGTGATGTGATGCTTGTAGGGCAAAATAACTGGGTGTTTCAACTCGTAAGACAAAGGCGCACGTCCAATACTGCCTCCTACTCTCAGCACTCCATCTTGAACTTGAGGATTCAACTTGCTTATTGAAGCTCCCATCTTTTTCATTAGCCTCTTTACTGACCTTTCATCCGCTCCTGGCTGGAGAGCTGTTACATCAGGGAACTCTTTGTGTTGAACATAGCGCATGATTTCATGCTCTGCCTCGCGAAGCTCGTCAAGTTTGAGGTAATTCCTTCCTTCCGCTGAATCATGTGTGGTTGGGCAACCTTCTCTGAGTTGTAGAAACTTGTTCATAAGATACTGTTTATAGCGCAGCAACCAGGCAATTGCTACCTTGAGCTTCCACCAGGATGAATAGTACAGAATAAGCTTCTCCACGACATCACAACTGACCGCTGTCACATAAACTTTATTCTCCTTTCTGACTTCTGGATCTTCATCCTTGAGGCAAGGGACCTCAATCATCTTTGGCCAGTATTCTCCCCCTTTCCACAAAAACTTAGGACCTGTCAGCCATCGGTTGTTCTTGATCAGAACGTCTAGCTTTAGACCCTTTGATCCATCATCTGCCGGGTTCTCGTCTCTGTTGACATATCGCCATTCTTGGGGAGCAGAACCATCGTGTATAATCGTCAGGCGGTTGGACTCGAAGGTGTGAAATCTCTTGGTTTCATTGTTTATACACTTCAAAACAGAGTTGGAATCTGTCCAGTAAATGACTTTGTTCACGGTCAGATCCAATTCATCATGGATAGCATGGCTGAGTTTCACAGAGATGACTGCTGCAGTCAACTCAAGTCTTGGAATGGAAATTTCTCTGATTGGAGCTAACCGGGCCTTGCCCATGACGAACGAACAATGGACTCACCCCTCAACATCTTCAAAACGAAGGTATGCGACCGATGAATAACCTTGTCTTGAGGCATCTGAGAACAGGTGTAACTGGGTTTCTTGAACCTTTACAAATCCTTTGGGTCTGAAACAGCGATCAATCTTCACCTCTTCAAGCTTGCTAAGGTCGTCTAGCCATCTTGACCACTGCACAGTCTCGTTCTCTTCAAGTGGTTCATCCCATCCAATCTTCTTTCTGGTTAACATCTGAAGTAGCAGTTTTGCCTTCATGATGTATGGTGCAATGAACCCAAGTGGATCAAATAAAGAATACACAACAGACACTATGCCACGTCTTGTCACTGGTTTCTTGGAAGACGCACTCATAAGTTTGTCTGAGACCTCCCACACAAATTTGTCATCTTCAATGTCCCACTTCATTCCTAAGGCACTTTGGGTTGGAAGCTGTTCAAGCTCCAAGTTCACAACTGTCTTAGCTCTCTCTGATTCTGGAATAGCAGCTATGACTCTCCTGTCATTACTGCACCATTTTGTTAGATGAAAACCACCTTTGCTGAGCTGCTCACGAACTTTGTTTGCCAGCACAATTGCATCTGTCACTGTTTCAGTTGACTTCATGAGGTCATCGACATACATGTTCCTGTTGATGACACTTGCAACTTCTGAATTCTGCCCTCCGTCCATCTCTGCAGTTTTCTTCAAACAAAAGTTCACGACACTTGGCGACGACGTCACTCCAAATATGTGTTTCACCATTTGGTACTCCACTAACTCTGCTGATAGCTCTCCTCCCTCCCACCACAAAAATCTTAATGCATCAGAGTCTCTGGGTTCCACTCTTACTTGATGAAACATTGATTGTATATCGGCTACAAGGCCGACAGTCTCTTGGCGAAAACGGCTCAACACCCCTACAATACGATTAGTTAAGTCGGGGCCCTGCAACAATTGCTGATTCAAAGACGTCTTGGCAAACTGAGCCGCACAATCAAAAACTACTCGGACTTTCTCCGGTTTTAATGGATGCATAACTGGGTGGTGGGGCAAATACCACACTGGTCGGTCTTCTGGGTGTAGCTCATTGGTTGGTACTCTCTCTGCATGGCCCTCTTCAACGTATTCATTCATGGTTGCATTGTACTTGGAAAACAAGTCTTGGTCTTTGAGGAGACATTTCTTCAGAAGCTCAGCTCGACGCTCGACCATTGACCTGTTATTTGGCAAATAAGGTGGATCATTACGCCACGGCAGCGCTACTTGGTAATGCCCATCAACCATTTTCAACGACTGTTCCATCTTCTCTAGTGCTTTCTTATCCTCAATTGAAAGACTTGCGCTTGAGCTCACAACAGAATCTGCAAAGTCAGTTTTCCAAAGTTTCTCAAGTTGCTCATGTAAAATCTCATCTTGTATTTGACACTTCACTTCTGCATCTCCACACTGCAGGGTTACATCTGTCTCATTTGCTCCTAATTCTCCAACTTCACTCTCCTCTTTCTTCTCAACACCACCTTTCTGTCCTTCAAACTCTACAACCTCTGGCTCATCAACATAAAACTCCTTGTTACCCAGGCGAACAAAATTAACTGAACAAGGTCCACTATCTCCAGTGCCGCCCAAGGGACCCATAACTGTCCAACCCAACGAGTATCGCACCGCTACTGGCTCACCATGTCCACCTGACTTACATTCCAATGGGACAAACAATGAGGGCTTCTCCTTTAGGCCTATGATAAGACCGACATCTGATGCACTTAACTCTGGCAAATCAACATCCCTTAAATGGGACCAGTTCAAAATGTCTTCTCTCTTGGGAATGCAACTGACTGACACTGGTATCTGCTCAACAGTTCTAACGTTCAACAGTTCCTCTGACACTCTGCCATCCAACGACGTAACAACAATATCTACCACGTGGCCTTCAACGTTCTTGGACCCTGTCACTCCTTGTAGCTCATAGTCACATCTTGAGCCCCATGACACGAGGTCATTGAAAAGCTGTTCCTTGCACAAAGTCACCTCGCTACCGCTGTCTAGTAGCGCATACGTCTCCACAGTCCTCGTCCCTCCCTTGGCTGTAACCTTAACAGGAAGGACTCCTAGGCAAACACGTCTCTCGCCGGCCCCAGTTGCTACTGTCACAGAACTTGCACCTTGCCGTTCTTGAGTCGTTCTTTGGACTTCACCTGAATTACTTGTGGCTGCATTAACTTGTTGAAGATGATCTTCAGCATCAAGAGAGGAACCATGAGGGGTAACACTGGTAGAACTTACTCTCTCTGTCTGATCTCTAGGAGTGGGGTGTAGCAGAGTATTGTGATCCTCAACACAACCTCGCACCTGACACTTGAAGGCTTCCTTGGGACAACGATCTTTAAAATGTCCTCCGTTGAGGCATTTGAAGCACAGCCTCTTGCTTAACGCCAACCTTTCTCTTTCTGGATGCGGCAGCTTCTTGAATTTCTCACACCTCCATAATCCGTGCTGTCCAAGACAAGCAGGACACTTTCGGTTGGCACCCGATGTTTTACCATTTGGGTTTGCTTTCTGATCAAGTTCAACTTTAGTTGTCATTGAGGTTAGCTTTGATAGTGGTTTCTCTACCTTCTCTCCATTTCTTTTCTTCTCTCTTGAAGAGCTCGCAGCAAGATCTTCTCCAAATTCATTGTTCACAAGCTTTGCTCGGGCCTTTACAAACTTCAGAAAATCCTCAAATTTTGGCCTTTCTCCTGCTTCAATGATTCTCCCCGCACATTCTGCCCACTTTGCTCTCATAAAATAGGGTAGCTTCCTATTCAGCTCCATCAGGGTGTTGGTGTGGTTCAAGTCACTGACATATTCAGGACCCATTCCCTTCAGGGTTCTCTCTGCTATCTCAAGGCTTCTCGAAAACTCTAACAATGCTGACCCAGTGCTAGCTTTCAATGGTGGCAATTGTTCTAACTTCTTTAAATGAGCTTTCGCGATAACATGAGGAAGACCGAAATTTTCTTTCAGGGTTTTCTTTGCAGATTCATAACCTTCTGACACTGGTAGGTTTACACAACTTTCAATCGCTTCTCTAGCTTTACCAGTACAGTGTTGAATTAGTAACTGAAGACTTCTAGAACCATCGGTATCATCTTCCAAGCAGGTTTCAAATTTGCGCATGAATGACACATAGTCAATTGGATTTCCACCAAAATGCATGTCTTCTATCTTGGGAGTGTTCATAACTTGACTCAGAGTTTTAACTATCTGCTGACCGGTATTCAAATCAGCTTGCATTGGCAAATTTCCTGAATTTCCCTGTGGATGACCCGCTACAACTTGAAAGTTCTCGGTGGGGGGTGGCAGTTCAAATTTCCTGTCAGTTCCTGATAAATCTGACACACTATCTCCTTGGAGAGGTGTTCCTGGCTCATCCCCCTTTGAAAATGGTAACTTCACAGATTCAGTGTCAGTTGGCACTGGTTTGGTGTCATGCTTCGGCGACTCTTTAATCTTCAATTTGGAACCCGCTTGCTCTACAACATTCTCAACATCACCCTTCAGCCCGGAATCGTGTAAATCACCATGCAGATTCTCCCCTTGGCTAGGTAAACTCTTTCCCTTAACCCTTGCAGACCCAGTTTTTTGGTCCATGAGACTAAAACTCACAAAGGCTCTCTCTGCCTCCATTTCGGCCTCCATTAATTCCTTTGCATAATTAATTTCAGCCATTTTACGGTCAAGTTCTTGTTTTCTTTTCAAATGTTCTAAGTTTAGTCTTGCTAAGGCCATTTTTTCTCTTCGAGCCTCAGAACCAGCACTAACATAACTAGATTTCGATTTTTTCGAAACAGTACTCACGTGTTCGGCGCTCCTCCTCCCAGGATCAATTCCACAAGACCTCGCAGACCTTTGACTCCCGCCAATAACCTCAAACAAATCAAGCGACAAATCGCGAAGTTGTTTCACCGTGCCATCCATTCCCAATTTCCTCGCTAATTCCTCATCGTAAACCATAAGAGCCTTTCGCTTTTCCGGTTCCAACTCCATCAACTCCATAAAGCAATCGTGTGCATCTACGAATTTCCTCCATATTTGGTCATAAGATGCAAGTTTTAAAGCCAAATCTTCAGACCGCAAATCCTTTCCTTCGGCTAATAAAGACTCAATTTCTCCTCGCAATTTCTTTAACGCACCAGCAAATCCTGCCTTTGATCTCTTTAGCTGTTCGGCTCTTTCAGCTTTATCTTCCTCTTCGTTCCTCCTTGTCGAATACGTTTTCAGTCGAGCTCCTCTTCCCGCCACAGGACTCACAGGACACGAATGTGTTGACATGTTTACTCAAATTCAGCCCACCAAATGAAGCGCTCAGTTCGAAAACTGTCAGTAACGTACTGGTTTATTCACAAATATCTCCAAATGTTCAAAGTCCGTACGGCCACGGACCACAAAAATATAACACAGTTGCACAATCCGAGGCACACAGTGAAAACTCACAATCGACACGTTCCTTGTTTACATAAGGGTGATGCGAGTGGTTTTCTGCGAAAAATATAAATGTCCAATGTCTTATATGTTCTTCAAAACGTTTACAAATGTCCACAAATGTCCACTTACCGAACTGTATGGCCTCTCGGTTTAAAATAAACGAAATAAGCTCTGTAAACTCCGTATTTAATAACAAATAAATCTGGCACTTGAAAGCACATGGCGAACACAACAAGATTGCTCGTGTGGTCACGTGACCGCAAAAATGACAAAATCCTACTCAGGGGAGTCGGGAGTGACAAAGAATCATTGGCACGGAGCTTTGTATGCTTTCCAAATACATAACTGGACCTTTATTAACTTAATGAAATTGCATTTTTGTCGTTAATAGGCCACGTGCAGTTAACTTGAAAATTGCGAGGGAAGCGATAATGGGCGGAACAGACCCATGTCAAATAAGATGGAAGGTGGTATATGCGATTGAAGTTGTAGATTGTCAAGCAGAACTTCTATCTGCAGTCTGTATCTACAGTTCG